TCTCTCTCTCTCTCTCTCTCATACTTCACTCATTAGTTTTTGGAGGCTTTTTGGTCGGTTAAATTTTGATTTCAGTTCATTTTTCCAATTTATTTCATTGCTCTCTACTTGTCACTTTCAATCTTTCATTTTATCCACTTATCTAGTTATTGACAAGCTTCCAACTGCTTATTGCTATTGTATTTCGTTGAGTGCTTTTTGAATGTCTATGCTACAATTATGTTGTTTTTTTGTGTCTGTTGTTGTTGACAATGTTCTGACCTAGTGTTATTTGTTGTTGCATTGGTGTTGTTTCGTTGCGACATTAAAATGTTCAACTGGTATGTGGTTGTTCATCCCTGTTTTAATTTTTATGGCGCGCTGTTGTGTGGCAGTGTTGTTGCTATGATGTAGTTGCAGGTTGGTTGCTAGGCCGGTTTCAATATTACGTTTTTGTTCTTCTATTGTTATTTGCCATTCCAATACTCTTAAATGATTGCAGTTAAATTCATTTTATAAGCATAAACAATGTCCGCGGTGCGTTGTAACTGCTGGCCAGTGATGACATTTCATTGTCACTAGTTTCATTGCGAGTCAAAGTTTGTTCGCGGTAGACTGCACACGATTGAATAAACTGGACAATGTGCAACAAGCAACATGCAACATGCAACAAGCAACATGCAACGTGCAACTTACAAAATGCAAAAATTCTGTTGTACAATGTGGGATTCTGTTGTGCTGTTGTTCGTTTATTTGTTGCAAGATTTGTGTTGCTATTGTAAGTGTGTGTGTGTGTGTGTTGATGATAATGTTAAAACCTTGATGCTGCTGCTGTTGTTGTTGTTATACTTTTTTTTATTTCTATGCAGTACTCTTGTACAGTTGGTTTCTACCAAATACACAGTTAATGTTATTGAAGCTTTGAGAGCTTTCCAATTAATGACAATCGAGTAGTGAATAGTTTTTGAGTACAAATCAAATGTTTTCACTTTCTTGTTACTTTAATATCTTAATGACATGTGAAAAATCTTTTTTCTAAAATTGCTCAATATATTCAACGCGATCATTTGTGTTCTTCATCGGCTGATTTATATGTTGTTCGTTTGCAGACTGACTTTTATGCAACGTGTTTGTCTCTAACAACAGTAAAAGGTTTTAACTTGGATTGATTCATCACAGTTACTCACAACTATAAAACATCCACTGTGACATACACGTAATATACATCTTTCGATACGTGATTTACAAATCAACAAACACGTTATAACATTTAAAAACGCATAAAATACAAATATATTCTATCTATAAATACACACACACGCGCATACACACATTCACATCAGGCATTTACACATACAAACACACACACGCACACGTACACTCAAGCACCGAACGAACGTACGCACGCATTGGAACAAGTTTCCATTCACGGCATTTATTAACAGGCCGAAAGATTTTACTCCTTTTTGAAAGTTATTTCAGTGGCCGTCAAATTTATTCGCGTAATGGCGAGTGACGTCTGAACATTTTTCGTGATCCTCAGCACGGCAGCCACAGTGCTTAAGTGGATGCAGGATGTAATTGGCTGATTGGTGATGGCGTTAACGTTTCCAACATTTCGCATTTGCCATTTCAACGGACATTTTCTAATGTCAGAATACATTCAGAAAAATTGCTTTCTGAGAGGCAGTATAAATGAATAAATATATGAAGAAAAAAAAATTAAACCTGAGAATGGAAACCCCTACCAAGAATTTCCAAGCGTCTTAATATATGCACATATAAATATACCTACTCCATCTCTAGAACAAAAGTTATTGCGTAAGTTTTTGAAATTGCCACATCACAAAGTTGTTAGTATATATGTGCAAATAACTTTAAAAAAATGACCAAGTTCTAATAAAGACATCTTCATTTACATTTTTTCAATATCATTAATCAAGTTCATTTAAATGCTTTTTAAATGCAATCGACGAATTTTTCCATCCGTTATTTTGTGAAGCAGCTTGAATTTTATTTGACCTTGAACGCTAAATTGCAAATTTATTTCAACTCGTCCCATTGAACCAAGTTATTTGTTGGGATCAAGAAGTTGAAAGTCTAAAGTTAAATTCAGTGTTTAATTTTTTTGTCATTTTTCCTTGCCAACGAACTTCGTGAGAATCAAAAAGCATGCCTGCACTTGAATTTGTAAGTTTTCCATACTTTAATATCTCGGTGCTTATGGAAGTGCTCAAATGAAATCAAAGAATAATAATTTTGTTTCAGGCTATTGTGTTCTGGTGAGAGCTTTGATGAGAGTAATTAAAACAAATCATTAAAGATGCACTCTTCCTTCTTCCTTCACTCTTCCAATTTGTTCCATCTGTTTGAAAGGTTTGTTGAGTATGGCACAATGTTTTCATCAAAATTCATAATTTTATTTGAAAGCTTTTATGTTTTGTTTGTTTGTAAGTGAATGATGCATTGTTTGCGCCGACAATAATACTCTGATGGTGGATAGATGATGAATTTAAAAGCTACAGAACAATGTATCGAGCAATCGATATTTATGCCTGCATCTGAAAGAAAGACTCGCCGGTCCATTGTAAATCATCGCAAGAAAGTTGTGCTGCCCCTTTCTTCTTCCCTTTCATTCATACAACATTCAGACAAACTTCTTACAAAATATATAAAAAAAAATATTTCATAGTCTTTCTTCGTTTTTGTATTTGAAAAAAAAAATTTAGTTTTTCCTATTTGAGAAACAAAATTTGTAAAGGTAGAAAATTTCATAGCGTTCCTTCTTCTGCTTCTCACATTTGACGAATGAAGCGAAAAATTGGCGCTGAATGTGAACAAATTTGTGTTGTTGGAATCAACTTTTCTGCCTGTAATGAAATTCTCGTTTGCATTTTTTTTGTTGGTTTCGCTGCGTTCGCTGGTCGCTCCGTAGCATCAGACGATCGCTTGTTAGTGTCGTCGTCTCCTTGAAGAGATGTTGTTGTTGTCGTTGCTGTGTTGTTTTAGATCTGTTTTGTTGCAGTAGTTTTGAGTTAATATTTTGTTGTTATTAAAGTTGTGCAACTGTTTATAAGTACTTCATTGTAGACGCTTCAAACTGCTATGGTTGCTTTTTATTTCTATCTTCTACTTCAACGTAATAATCATTTTGTTTCTTGCTGATGATGATTTTTTTTATAAATGTCATTTTTTGTTTTAAATTCACTTTTCAATATCTACTTTACAGGCAAATTAAACTTATTTATAAATTGAAATCAATTTATTTATAAATAAAAAAATAGGATGAAATAATATTCATCTGAAGCAATCAAACACAACTCAAAAAAACAAAAAAAATCAAAACAAAAAACGCCATCAGCTTTCTACAAAGCATAAGACCAAATTAGAGACAACTCAATTCAATGAAAAAACAATGGAAAGCTGAAAATCTAAAGAACCGACCGACGACTAAAGAACTGAAGAACCGACAGACAATCGGATAAATATCGAATCAGCTCATCAATGCTTTGCATCTTGAAAAGCAAAATCTTAAGTTAATCAACCAAGCAAACGTAGCCAACGCTGAATTAATTTTTTTTTCAAAGGAAACTCACAATTACGTCACTGGCTGTATTGTTTCTGATTTGCTGCTACTTGACAAAACAAAATCAAACTATAAATATTTATTATATTTTATTTGAATAAAACACATAACAAGTAAACAAAAACTTGTAGCAGTGAATTAACTAAAAATGAACATGTAGACAGAAAGGAAAGAAAGAAATAGCAATCGTGATAAGCTTAAGTCGCACGTTATCAAATTCGCCGCATGAAGATTATATATATATATATATATATATATATATATATATATATATATATATATATATATATATATATATATATATATATATATATATATATATATATATATATATATATATATATATATATATATATATATATATATATATATATATATATATATATTTACACTTGGGCAAATATTAATAAATCAACACATATTCACACAGACACGTAAAATACTAATGTACACACACACACACACACACACACACACACACATACATATATAATGAATCAACACATTTATGCATAAATAAAAAGCACGCCAAAAACAACTCAATGCACACATGCTCAATGGATGGTCAAGTACAACGTTATATTTACAAACATCTATATACCAATGAAATTATTCGTAGATAAATACAAATATAATATATATATATATAATATATATATATACATATGATATAATATATATATATATACATACAATAACAAAAGGTACATATTCATACCCACTTTCTCACATTTATACCCACATTTCCACACATACATTACACACACTCTCTCACACAAACACATATGCTTAGGTTAAACAAAAGTTTTCATTTTCAAATTTTTTTCCTTGATATAAGAAAATAATATGATTTTATTAACTTTTTCTCTGCTATTGTCAAACTCAATGTGTGGTAGTAGCTTCATTTTTGAACATTGAGAATGCACAAATTGTTAGTTTATGATTCGTGCAGCAAAAATTTAAACTTGTGCAACACCACATCTACAAAACCCCAAATCTCAAATCACAGACTCTTTGTTTTATTTCTGGCTTGCCATACACTCTTATCTTCTGATCCCACAAAATGATACCCGAAAAATTCCATGATTGATGTTGGCTGGAACAATTCTTTTGTTCATTGATGTTATTTTTAAAAAGAAATAAAAAACAATTTTATCCTTGTGACTTTCATTTAATCTTTTCATTTTAACGATTTTCTACTCATATTCAAGCAAAAAATAACTTTTTTTTATTGTATTTCCATTCATGTTCAAAGTGTTTAGTTGTTTCCAAAGTTATTTCTACATGATTTGGTGCTGTGTTTAATTTGTTACAGAAATGTTTATAAGTTTGAAAACATTTCTTGCATTGACGAACACCTATATGGCCAAAAAAATGTTTTATTTGTTAATGTTTGTGTAGATAAAGAAAAGATTTTGTTTACAAAAAGATACATTTAAATGGCATAATATAACAGAACAAACATGCATATTTGCACACATTTACGCTTCAGAAGACGTGATTTTGACACATAAGTTGATTTGAAGCACAGCAGACATAACAAGCCCAATGAAGTATGCAGATGCACAAATCTGCTTACGACGCTCCCACTCTTCAATCTTTCAATTATGACTATTTGTCTTTCTGTCTGTATCTGTGTGTATGTGTGGGAAGATGTATGTGTGTATGTGAGTCTGTGTTTGTTTTATGTGCTTGGAAATATGCGAATAAATGTGTGTGTGTGTGTGTGTTGTATGCGTGTGTGAATGTGTGCCTGTGTGTCGGTGTGTGTGGTTGTGCAAACTTTTCCGTATGTATTCGCGCATCTTTCTCAGCATCTTTTTCAGACAAACATGTCAACTGAAATAAACAATATCAAAAATACCAGACAAAAATATACAAAATAAAATACCAAGCGACCCCAGCACAGTTCAACTTATTATTATAAAAAACAACATCCTCTCTGCTTAAAAAATATATTTCAAAATAAAATAGCAGAAACAAAATAAACATTACACATACAAAAATAGTAGACAACAGAATATCACGTGCATGATAATTAAAAATTTATGCCAGCAAGAAGATTATAAGCAAGGAGGAATAACGATCATAGGATATCAAAGGAGAGATGAATGTTTCGTTAAGTTAGCAACAGATTACTTAGCGATGCATCATGCCTTCATGGGATTTCTCGGCTCAGTAACTTATCAAATGTCAATTATTCAACGTTGTATGATGAAAATGGTGATGCAGATTATTTTTTCAATCGCTGAGAAGTAATTGTTAAAATTTCAATTAGGATTTGTATTTTTTATCAGTTCATTTGTACGTGTTTTATCAAACGATATCAGAAACCTCCATCAGCCATAGAACAATAAACACATCTGAGAAATGAATTAATACGACAATCCATCGCATAGTTGGAAGAGTTATGGCAAGCGAAAGCCGTACATGTAAATAACTTTCATCTTAACTCCAACACGTGGTTGTAAATCAAGTGGCAAGTCATCTGAGCGCGTCATTTATCGTTCCTTATTTTCCACTACTCCTAATTGCTCATCATGAAGATTGTGGATTTGTGTTTGTAAACACTGCTCAAGAAATAATGAGTTATTTGAAAAAAATTAAAAAAGAAATTAATTAAATCTTATATTTGTTCATTTACTACACGATTCGCTTGCTCATTTCTTCATTTGTTTTTTTATTTAAACAACAATCAATCATTCCTCACTGGTCTCCTTCGACTTCCTTCATTCTTTCATCCGGAAATTTTTACTTTCTTTTCATCTTACATTAACTAAAATCTATGTTTGTAGTAAAATAATTTATTTTGTTAAAAATTAATTATAAAAAAATATTTAAAAAGCTTTTGATTTCAATTTTTGGAAAATAACATTACACGTCATTGCATTGCACCGATGCATGTGCTCGCTCAGCCTGTAAAGATGAACAATCAATCTTAGCAGAAAATTAACATACTTTGACGTCAAAGCTGGGTCTCATCAATTTTGTAACATCTTAAAAATATATGCAAAAAAAGTATTCGTGAAACCAAGTACCAGCAAGCCAGCCAGCATAAAATCAACACTGAGTATGGTAATGTATGTCAGATTTTGTATGTTTTATTGTTTGTATAGGATTATATAGAATTGTATACAGTGCATGCAAACGTGTAATAATCATTATCATTAGTTCACACCTACGTTTTCAATCAGCGTTAACACTTGTTAACGAGGTTAGTGCCGAATTTTTATGAAGGATTTTTTTTTCGGCAAAAAACTCAAGTTTGTTTTTGAATTCAGAAATTTAGATTGTTTAAAAAACAACTCGTTGTAACCTTTCGTTTCATTATTGATAAATCCAGTCAATTCTAAGTTACAATAGAAACATTTCATGAAATTGCCTTCTCCTAACTGTTTGCAATTATTATTGTTATCCAAATTCATCATGCATATTATTTTCTCAAAACTAATATTTTTAATGTATATGTTGACATACATTTGCAGATACAAAAATATCTATCCCACATCATTTTAAAATTTTTTGATAGATGAAAAGGTAGTTTGTGAGTTATTGTGGTGCACCTAGGAACATGTTGTTCTTGCATTCTGTTGTTCTCTTATACACACATACATACCATAAACATTCATAATATATACAATTCATCTCCACTCATATCTAGATGCATATTTGTGCTGTGAGTGCATGCATGTTTGTGGAAAGATTGCATACATTTGAAAGCTCAGTGGAGCAATAAAGGAGGTCCCTTTGACATCGAATTGCTTGAAATTGTTCAGTTGTGTGTTTCGCTTTTTCAACTTTGTGCTAATTTTGTGTGTTGGTGCCATTTATTTATTGGTTGGTGGTGCTGAGTGTTGTGGTTGCGTTGGCATTTTGGTGGCTCATGTAGTGAAATTTTTGATTTCATAAGTTAATTATGCTTGTGTGTATGGCTCTTGAGATTCAATTTGACTAATGATAGTTTTATTTACGAAATATGTGTATATCTTTTATGTTTTAATTTTACTCTATATGTGATGCAGTAGGTTCATTTTTGTACGTTTCAGGTTTGTTATATGTTTCCGTGGTAATGTCTCTCTCTCTTAAACTTGACAAGTAGTGAAAAATAACGTAAAGGAATTTGAAATAAAATGCTTTGTGTATTAGCATAAGAAGCAAACTTTTGTGCACACCTACTACTTGAAATTGGTTTTGTTTTGACTTTCAGTATTTTTGTCTCTTCTTCTTCCATTTTTTTACTTTGTTTATTTTACAAACAAATAAAAACAGTTGAGAACTTAAGATAAAACAGTTTCCACTTTAAAACATTAACAACTACTTAATTTCAAATAGTGGAATATCCATCACGAAAAATTCGATTTGTATCCATCTGTAACAATTATTTATACGTACAATAATTTTATAGAAACATCTGTTGTCGGGAGTTAGTCAGTTGAATCAACCAATTTCAAAGTTGAGGCAGAATATTATGTGAGTGCTGCAAGACGCACGAGGCAGCGTTTGACAAATTTGTGCATTCATCGTCCGCACACCAACACACAGCCTGTTAAATATTCTAAAGTTGCAACTTGATGGTGCACTTGTGAGATGTGAACGTATCGCTTGTTCCATGCAGTCATATTTCTTCGTCCATTCCACCTTAACTGTGTAGAAGGGCATGTTCAGTAGGCAACCTCCCCTCCTTCTAATGTTCTTCACTATTGTTCTTTATTTGTTGCAAAACAAATCCAACAACAGCCGAGTTTCACTGCGTGTTATATGTACTGTTATTTCACGTTTGTTGTTGATGCGAGTTGGATTTGTTGTTCAGAAATATGCGCTGAAGCACTGCTGTACATTGTTATGAATAAATATTATATATATATATATATATATATATATATATATATATTTCACAAAAGCAAACATTGCGATATCTTAGCAAACCTTATACGTTCCTAGTTTTTGGGTGTGGGTTGTTCAATTGCTGAAACGTTCACGTCACTTCATTGAAAGAACTTGGAACATTTATTACACAGGACCCAACAGCTGTCGTACCAATTAACGCTCAACAGAGTATTCATTTTATATTTTTTTTCAACGTTAAATTATTCCTTATATCATCTGCCGTACTTTATAAAAATTAATATTTTGTTCTATTTAATCGAAAAAAATCAACTTAATTATTTTTACCATAATTGTTGAAACTTTTTTGAGTTGTTTAATTCTAATTTATGGAAAAAAAACTAGGAAATCGTTTGATAATTTTCAATAAGATGGCGACCATCAAAAATTATTCCTACAGAAATCTAATCAGACGCACAGTCGGCAAACAACGCATCGCGCTGAAATAATAACTTTCCAATAAATGTGCGAGAATTGAAGAACGTATGACAGCAAGAGAGAATGAATGACGGAAGGAAGGAATGAAGGAAAAAATGTGGAAGGATGAATAAACAAAACGTACGTCACGGCGGGCAGATAGCACACACGAAAACAATTCTCTGTTGAATAATTTTTATTCCTCCTCTCATAATTGCTAAATCATCCATCATAAATGTCTAACGGATATTTCAATAAACATACACGCTACTGGAGCGTGCCATCACCTTTCATTTGCACTTTTACTCCCGCCATATGCTCTCTTTCTCTCTCTCTCTCTCTTTCTCTCTCTCTCTCTCTCTTAGTTTCTTTTTTCTGTCTGTCTATCTGTCTCAATTTGTAAATAATTTTTTCACACATAATTTATCAATCTTTTCTAATAAAGTTAGTTTCATATTTTATCATTTTGTTAATATTTCTGAACAAAACCAAGCGTTCATTACATGCTTGTCAACACCACACTACACCTCACCACACACCGTACCACACCGTACCACATCAAATTAAATGACACCACAATCTAAAACCACACTTGTCACATAACGTTACATAATATCATCCTCTCTCGAATCACATCACCATCTTTTCCTGTCCCAAATTACATCACCATCTCCCTCACATCACCATCTCTCCCTCTCTCAATTCACATCAACATCTCAGCCCACAAGGCATGCCACAATTTATGAGGTAAGCATCATGTTTGCTGAAACAAATGGGGCTTCCATCATTGCAGAAAATTTCTTTTCTTAACCTCCATATAACAACGTTAAACGTGTTTCTTTAGAAAGTATGTATATTTAATAAAAATTTATTTATAACAAATAAGAAATTATTTATAATAAATGAGAAATTGTTCATAATAAATAAAAAATTATTCATAATAAATAAAAATTTTTTAAGAATTTTATAACAAATGCAACAAAAAACTCGATCCATGTTTTAATGTGGAATTCAGATGTCAAAATATAGCATGCTTTTTGGCGCCGTGCAATGACAACGAACACATTTTTCGTGTGAGTGCTTAAATCTGTCGGGATGTTATATTTTTCTCAAGCTTTGGCAAATGTCTTGTAGATTATGCAGCTCTAAAATATGTTAATTTCTATGATTTATGCAAATTAATTTCCTCGTTCTAAATAAAAATACAATTTAATTAATCTTGAAATTGAAAGGATTGCAAACAAACAAATAAACGAACGAACGAACGGCAAACCAAGCAACCCACCTACCAAGCAACCAACCATGCAAGCAAGCAATCAACCAACCAGCTAGCCAGCCAGATAACCAACCAAACAACCAACCATCCAACCAATCAACCAACCACCACCAAGCAACCAACCAACCAAGCCACCAACCAACAAGCCAACCAAACACACAAACAAAAAAACAACATACAAACAAACACTTTTTCACATCAATTAATAAATATATTTTATTTAAAAATAATCAAAACATTTTTAACGGATAAACGCCTACTTGAATAATCAAGCATGTAAACGAATGCATGTGAAATCCTCACAAAAAACGAAAATAAGAAAAATAATTCAAAACTAGGACTCGAAACTTAGAAAAAAAACATTTGAAAACCAAAATTTCAATTACATCCAGTTCAGGGCTTACTGGTGTGGAGGCCTTGGGATACCCTAAAAAGAAAACCCCTAAGATGTTTTAATTTTTAATTTTCAGCATCAACATAGAAATAAATTAAATAAGGCCCGTGACGTTCATTCGGTTCATTCCACTTTTTTGTTATGGTGGCAGAAAGAAGAATGCGATAAAATTACAATTCTGTGATATCAATTTTGTGAGGATATCTTTTTTGTGGAAGGTTTTGGGAGCAACCGACAGGCCTGCCCTGCCCAAAATACCGCTCTTTTTCTCCCAAAGTATATCATGTAAAGGTTGACATAGTGTGTTTCGTTGAGAAAAATACTTTCTGGAATGAAACAACTGTTTGTGCGTGATGTGGATGTTGTTGGCTGCTGTTGGTTTCTAATAAAAATATTTTCATGATGCCGTTATCTACATCGTTGTCCTGCCTTATGTAGTAAATTTAATGCCGGTTTCGACGATCCTTGCTAGGTTGTGTTAAATAATGTTTTTGGTCTTGACTCTGGTCAGGTATTTGTTGAAATTGTAATAAAATTATTTTTATCATAGTTTAGTAGAACTTCGATGAAACTTGAATAATGATGAAATGAAGGAAATAATGATAATGACAAAACGTGATGATGACGATGACGATGATGACGCGGTTGAAATACTAATGACAAAATCAACATGGCGAGTTGAAAATTTTGCGTCACCTGGTGAGGAGAAACCAGCGGGAAGATTTTGAAATGTTTGCATTATTAATGGAGTGCCTTCAAATGCGAACGTGATACAATTTCATCGATTCAATGTTCCACCGACCATATATCCTACAAATTTCAACATTCTTTTTTTGTTGAAAGATTTTTAATAAATTTATTGGAAATTTGAATTTTGTTACTCAGTTTGACTTATTTATTGAGTATCGATTTAATCATTGAAGAAATTTTCTGAAGCATTTATGAGAATGAGTCTAAACAACAGTTATAACAAATATATATTTGTAAGTAAAGTTATACTATTAAATATAGTATTGATAGTAGTATAAGTGAGGACGATGATGATGAGGAAGAAAAAGATAAAGAGGAAAACGAGATGATGGTGATGATGGTAGAGTTTCGCGTCGTAAAGAAGCGACATTGGAGCATTAGTTGTTGTATATCTTCATACCGACCGTTTAAGAATTCTTTATCTACTTGCATTCCAACTGCGCCTATCTTAACTTATTTCTTCGTCTTTTTACACGTGCCATGTGACGGTTGATGGCTGGTTGGCTAGTTGGTTGGTTGGCCGGTTGGTTGGTTAGTTGGTTGACTGGTTGGTTGGTTGGTTGACTGTTTGGTTGTCTAGTTGGTTGGTTGGTTGATTGGTTAGTTGATGTTTAATTGGTTGATTAATCCGTTGTTAAGTTATTTGGCTGGTTGTCAAGTTGATCGGTTGGTTGGCTAGTTTGGTTTTTTGGTTGTTGGAGGTTTTCTTTGTGCTGGTTGGCTGATTGTTGTATGGTTAGATGGCACTAAGAAAATGTTGTTGTTGTTGATACCTACATTGTTTGACATTTAAATTATTTTTAATGTTGTTGTTGTCAACGTTGTAAGTTATAGTGTTCATTTTATTGCTCGCATTTTAGTATTGCTCGATTCATATTTTTCATATTTTTCTTACGCATGTGTTTGCCACATATTTTTTTATATATTTATTAAACGCTCATTAAACATTAAACGCTTTAATTATTTTAATAATAATAATAATAATAATTTGTAGAATAAATTATAATTAGCCATTCGGTAGCATCATTTATGCAATTGCAGTTGTAGGTGTTTATAATAGCTTGATTAAATTTGCTCCAGGAGTCAGAATTTTCACGGAGTTAGCTGCGACAAAATTTACGTCAATTAAAATTTTCCTTATTAATAAATTAAACTTTTGTAAATTTTTGTAACAAATTAGTTGGTGCATTACTACAAACATATAGGATATTTACAATGAGCCACAGAAACTCGCAAACTTTCAAATAAAAACACTTGTGTATGAATAAATAAAAAACTTAATACCTAAAAAATCACCTAGCGGAAACAAACAAATACACACACACACACACAAACACGCACAGGCAGACACACAGGCAGACACACAGGCAGACACACAGGCAGACATATAATTAAAAACACACAGACACATCAACACAAATTACCTCGCGGTCAAATGTGCCGGGATTGCAGAGGCGTCTGAAAAGCTGGTCAAGTGAGAAGAAGAATGGTCAGCCCCAAACAAAAAAGTGAGATATTGAGTCTTGAGTGAGAGTAGCTGGCAATGAAGGAACTATACATCAAGACGCGTTAAGACTTTTATTGGTCCTAATTCTCAACTCATATTACTCGCTTGGGCATTTCAGCGGCAAATCCACGACTTTTCAAATGGCTAACTAAGCGATAAGCAAATGTATGTTGCGCGTGCGTGCACATACGTACGCGCACATTTCACGCACGAACGTGCAAACAAACGCCTCGATAAATTTCGCGAACACACGCATTCAAACGATTTAAATGCTGTTTATATGAATGTGTCCAACTGGACAGATAAGAGCTGCTTAGCACTTGCGCATGCTTGCACGGAGCAAACATTTCTACTCCACTAAATTCAAAATCGCATAAACAAACAAACTTCCAGGTAACGTTACTTGTATAAAAGAACTTTCATGAATGTTT